ATTAGTATAAGGTGTTCCTGAAATGTCAACATGTCATGTCCTGTCGGAAGCACCGGAAGAATGCACTGATTCATACATTGAACATCCTGCTTAAAACTAGGCTCCATCCAATTGTTAAAGTACACATTAAGGAAGGTTAAATGTGTTGATATATTACTCGCGGGTCAGTATTTATAGTTATAAAATATTCTCCATGAAACTCTTCTACTAAAGTTGCTTAGCTTAAAACAAACAATGAGTCACCCAACAATATGTTTTCTCTATGGGTGTAAGATGTACCTACGCAATCACGTGACCTACGCAATCACGTGCCCTGACATTCCTTTATGACGGCCCCTATGAAAGTAGCTCTGAACACCATGTAGTACACAGGGACATATGATCAGGTCAGAATAGGAGTTTACGTCGATGCGTCAAATTTGTCACCCACGTGTCAACCATAATACTTTTAGAAAGATCTGCTGCGGCTTGAATGTTGTAATGTAATGTAATATATAGTCACCACGTTTGGTGACAAATACCCCATGGATCAAGAAACGAAGTTTTTCCTAAGAGTTTCATGTGAGATAGCGATGTACAAAGTTGAAAAATTAATTTAAGCTGTTTTTCTCTGAGATTACAAAATTCAAGCAAAATCTTTGAGGTACTGAGATCATTAGTAATAATTCCTGTTTCAGCTACTTTCTGTGAATATTTAGAAAATCCTTCTTTGGTTGTACATGTATTAAGGATTATGGTTAATCTTTAGACTGGGATTTGGTGGTACACTGGCTTAGCTGAATATCTCTTAGTATGGATGCTATGTATCTTTAGTACCCATTGGCAAAGAGGATCTCTCCTTCTCTCGGTGGACGCTCTATCGGTGAAACCACAGAGGCGATCTTCTCAATTTACAGACACCAAGGTTATTGTCATACCATTTGATCATTTAATGCAAATTATCATGACAGATAACAAGTATTCACATCCAATCGACTGATTCCGCCGTCCACATAATAAATCGGACAGCACTCGAGTGAGATGTGGTGATAGTGATATGACTTCCTGATGTTACTCAAAAGCCACCCTATTCCTCATTATACATATCGAACAACATGATTTTATAACAGGTAGATGTATGCAAATGGTCAACAGAAATTAGGAATAAACTTTCAAAAACGAGCAGATTCACAGTGAATGTTTATATAGGCGTCACCGCTGATTGCACACCTTATTTTCTTTCCCTCGCCTGGGTTTGCCTGGAACAGGAACAGCCAGGGATCGGTTGTTGACAAAGTTGGTGAGTATCAGGGCGATCGTCTCCAGAGTCTTCCCCAGACCCATATCATCAGCCAGAATGCCTGGTTGGGGGCAGATGAAATCATTTAGGTGCTCATACATTTATATAAACATGTACATAACCGTTTCTCAATCACTGGTAAATGATAACAAGGAACCTTGTAATGTACGTTAAATGTATGGGAGTACGTGCTTGGGTACGCGTGATGTAATTTAAATGTATGGGGTGTTCTTGGATCCTTGTAATGATGCTACATGTGTGGAGTGATCTTGCATTCCTGTATTGTAAGTTACTTGTATGGGTTGGTTTTGGATCCTTGTAATGAAGTTATATGTATGTGAGATTCTTGGATCCCTGTACTGAGGTTACATGTATGGGATGTTCTTGGATCAATGTAACGAGGTTACATGTATGGGATGTTCTTGGATCAATGTAACGAGGTTGCACGTATGGGATGTTCTTGGATCAATGTAACGAGGTTACATGTAGGGGATGTTCTTGGATCAATGTAACGAGGTTACATGTATGGGACGTTCTTGGATCAATGTAAAGAGGTTACATGTGATGGGTGCTTGTAGATCCTTGGAATGTTACACGTGTTGGATGTTCTTGTCTCCATCATCTTGTCTATCCTCAGACCTACCTCCCCTGATTCTGGGTGGTCTCTCTGGCGTTGAAAAGTTCAGCAATGTGTTGAGGTATTCCCCGTTGGCCTTCTCCACACAGAAAGGAGGCAGGTGGTCGCCATTCTCCCGACTCATCATCCAGGACAGAGCCTGCTTCTGGTGGGGATACAGGGGCGTTCCCACAGCCTGGTGGGGCACATGGAGAGGTTTAGAATGTCACAGAAACGATATTTCAATTGAGGCTTACAGTCATCATAACCTGGCTGGAATTGTGTCTTACAATTAGTTTATTCATACAGACGTAAGTTTTAAAAACATACTGTTAATGCCTGTGAAAAGCCTGTAAGTGAAATCCTCCCTCACAATTTGAAAGACGTATTGTAAGATATTACCTCCGTATATTGTTACATATATGGACAACTGACCCTTTGTACGATCTAAGTATACATCTTTCAATGTTGCCAAGCGACCAGTCACTGTTCTATGCTAGGCCTGCTAATTATCGTCGGTGGATCTATGATGACCTATGATTTATCAGTATCCATCCATGAGACATGCCAGTCCAGGGCCTCTTCGTCACGCATGTATTCATGACGGGGGCAGTGGGCTAGCCTAGTCATGAAAGCGGTCGCTCGTGACCCAAGTTTGATTCCCGACATGGGTACAGTGTGTGAAGACCTTTTCTGGTGGAATATGGCTATATGAACTGTTTCACATGCCTATTCATGACCTTACAAGACAAATATATGTCCAATACATGGCATGTACATGGCCCTTTGAGTTCGTTATAACCGTATGTTACTGTACATGACTGTACATACTGTACCCTAGGGGTGAAACGGTATACCGCGGTATTAGTAGAACCACGGTATTTTACCTTCGGTTAGGAATACCGTAATGCAATCCCCAAAATTTGTATTTTCGGTTTTAGTGCCGTCATTTTATTAACCTGTTAAACCTTTTTCAAAATGTCTAGAAATTGAATCATTTTCGTTCTTTTTTGTATTATGATCATATCTCATATACCGAACCGAAACGGACCGAACCGAAGGTTGTACCGCAATACGTACTGTACCGTGGTAAGAGCGTACCGTTTCACCCCTACTGTACCCACCTCTGCCGGTTCCTGCTCTGACGTCTTGTCACCTTCATTGAGGTTTTCAAACACGCGGTCGATATCATTGTTAATCTGAGGAGGAAAGTATAATCAGAAATGAAAGTAGTTTGAATTATTTGTGTTCAGCTTATAAGTTTAATCAGACAAACCCAGTGGCTGCCATTAGAGGCAACGCCAACGTGTAAACCGTGCAAACTACACCTGACGAGCAATCACTCTAGTGGCATGTTACGACAAGCAATAGAGTACTCGAAACCTCTTGTAACCCGGATCATCATGGTGGTTCTGAAAGGCACCTTTGTAATTTTAATAAGGCACCTTGTTCCCAAGAAACAAAACTTTATACAAATTCTAATATCATATAAGTTTAATCAAGTCATGCTCTTTAGACTCGTGAACTTATATTTGCCTAACCAAGGGAAATATTGTTGGTTTTGGTGGCTAACGAATACTCAATCTGTTTAGCATGATATAATCCTGGTTTTATGATCTGAACAAATGTTTTTATGTTATTAGGTGAATATTTTTACCAGCGAAACATTTTAGTGTCAACTTACGTCATCATGGGCTTCCATTTCTCGATGACTGTCCACTGCTATATGCGGGTTGGGTTCGAAATTGGTGTACCAAGATGCTATCTGTTCCATCGTTGAGTCTGTAGCCTCGACCTCAGGGCCGACATGTGTTGTGAGATCAACTGGCTCGGTTTGATGTTCAATACCAAAGTTTATTTGGGCTATACTGTCCAAGGCTCTCTCCGTGGAGCTTGAAAAATCTATCTCAGCTAAGCTGTTAAGTACTGTCGGGTTTAAAATACCAATAGATGGTTCTGGTAATTCTTCGTGGGCTGATCATGAACCAAGCAACGTGGCACCGGAAGTCCCGGGTAAACAGTTGTCTAATACTGGTACGGGTAAGCTGGACAAGAGTGGCCTGGGTGTAATGTTAAATGGAGTAGGTGGTGTACTGTCGAAAGTTTGCGGTAACCGTGCAAACGGTAACTCAGGTAACCTGTAAAACGCTACATCAGGTGGCGTGTCAAAGGTCGTATCCGGTGACCTGTCAAAGGACATGTCGGGTGACCTGGTAAGGTCAATTTCATTTGATCTGTCAGAGGCCGGTTCAGTATTTCCGTCAAAATCTACCTCGGCATCCTGAAGAATGTTTTGACATCGGAGTCTGTTAGCAGTGGTACCATATAATATGAGTTGAAGTGGCACCTCTTGGTCAGAGCTAGCACTCACGTCCAGGGTAGCTCTGAAGAAATAAAGGTTATCAGTGTCAAGGTCATATAATGATAACCTTCATGACTTACATATGTATCTTAAGACTGCCATTGTTTGTAATTAGTTGTAGCATGTCGATACTATCACCGTGGTAGTATTGTCTGGTTCGTGACATCAATGACAGCAAGTCCATATGAAATAGTGTTTCATCTTTCTGAACATCGCACGCATTATACATATATTCAGTCACTACAATGACAATCTAACCAGTTCCACGCATGCAGCAGTAAATTTTTTTATCGTTTATATGTGGTGGCGTGTGGTCCTGTGCATAGAGCTCAGGCTACAAATCAGTTACAGTTAAGTAACGATGGGCGCGGAGAGTCATTGGATGGGTGGCCGTGTTTGGTAGCGTGGACTCCTGAGAGTTTCTAGGACTTCAGTCCTGCGCCACAACGAAGCACGTGTGATACATGTGATCTCACCTTAGGCAAGTTAGTTTGTTCAAAACTGCCTCTGTTCACCCAGCAGGAGATGGGTACCCGGTGGGATAACTCCTGTCACTATAACCTTCTAGCGCCTGAAAGGCAGCTTGGGTTATCCGGGGTAATAATAATCAGCGCCAGTGAGCAACTAGAAAGATGGATACTAATCGCTTTAAAAATATATTATTATTATTATTATCATCATTACTATTATATAGAATTAGAAAATGGAATTCAAAATAATCGATGCCATATGACAAGTGTATCTTACGCCTCAATTCTAGCTACACGGTCATCTAAGATGGTTGTCATGGGTTCATCCAGCGGCGGTCTAAGGTTACCAAGTTTGATGTTCCCGGCGTTGTAGACACTGACTGTTCCGCGTCTACCCATGATGCTCGACTCCCGCGTCAGGCGTACAGATTCGTGGCTGTTCACCTTGAAACAGCAAAACAGAAGGTGACGTGATGCAGATTAAAGAAGCTACTCTCAAGCTTTAAAATCTGCTTTCCAGCTTAAAGGTTACATATTGTATGTTCATACATGGCCTGTTGGTTGGACATCATACGTAACACTTGGAATATGTAAAGAATTGTTCTGAAAGTGTTTTCTTGATCGAGGACAAGATGTCACTTTCTCGAAAATAAGGTCAAGGACATATTGCTGCCCTTCAGTAAGAATGCCACCACAAAATATTGAGACATATTGGAGATTTCTGCGCTTGCGTGCGTTGTTTAGACTATAATATGTAAAAATAAAAAAAAGGTGGTGTCTACTAGTGCTGGTCCTAGATGATCATAAGCTTTCTTTCAGCAACATTGGTGATGTAATTGGCAACTGCTTTACGTCAACATAGATCGACGTAAGGACCTTGCCATGTTTGGTGTCACTATGGTGGAGGGGCAGTGGGATAGCCTAGTGGCTAAAGCGTTCGCTCGTCACGCCGAAGACCCGGGTTCGATAACCAACATCAGTACAATGTGTGAAGCCCATTACTGGTGTTCCCCGTCGTGATATTGCTGGAATAACGCTAAAGGCTGTGTAAAACCAAACTCACTCACTCACTCACTCACGATTGGTGGACTTACATTGTCACATCTTGGCGACTTTGAGATGCTGGTGGTGAGAGTTCCAAACAGCATCTCAGCATCTGAAACATGGGAGGCCTGCGAGGCATGTGAGTCCTCGCTCTGGAAAAACTCGTCAGTGATGTTAGGATTCTCCGCCATCCAGGTCCTCAGCATTTCCAGGTCCTCCTGAGTGATCGAATTAGGCAGGTTCACGATGTCCATGTCCATTGTTCATCACAACCTGCACTGGTATGAACAAGTTGTCAAATAAATATCTTGGTCCCGTTCAACAGAGCGATCGTAACTCTACGACACTCGTAAGTATGTGAGTTGCCCCCACCCTAGTTCTAAGCAGAGCCCCGTTTCAGAAAGCCATCGTACCGCTACCACTGTCTTAAGTCTATGTTACGGTAAAGGAGTTACGACAGTCGTAGCGCTACTATAGCTTTCTGAAACGGGGGCCCAGGGCCAAGATTTTCGGAGCTCTCTCAGAACTAAGAAAGTCGTAAGTTAATGTTAATGTATGGCACTTACGATCATCTTAACACTAGGAGAGCTTCGAAAATCTAGGCGTTCTTAGCAAGTAATTTGTATTAAGTCCCATAGCATAGATGTGAAATTGTCGCAAGCTACCATCGCATCGTGAATGGTTCACAGTTAGATAATTGTGTTCAACAAAATTAAAATTTAAAAAATAGTGAAGGATAATTATGAGTTTCAAAACCTGAATATATGTGCTGGAATTGATTAATATATGAGCGGGTTGACTGATCTCTTCATTATCTAGTTCGACTTTGAACTAGTTTTCAAGAAATTGTCCCTAACCTTTAAAAGGGAGTTATAACTTATGATGGTCACCACTTAAAAGAAACTGCCACGTGGGTCTAGGAATGAAGGTTTCCTTGAGCCTGTTGAGTGGTGCAGTGCTTTTAACATAATTGGTTCTTTTCGGGGATGGGGCGGTGGGGGTAGCCTAATGGTTAAAGCGTTGGCTCGTCACGCCGAAGACCCGGGTTCGAATCCCCACATGGGTACAATGTGTGAAGCCCATTTCTGGTGTCCCCCGCCGTGATGTTGCTGGAATATTGCTAAAAGCGGCGTAAAACCAAACTCAGTCAGTCAGTCAGTCTTTTCGGGGATTGTAATACTTCAGGCAAATCCTTTAAGATCTTGAGAATCCTCATGTTAAAAATTCCTTGTTTGTATGAAGGATTATGGTTAATCGTTGACACGGGGATTCGATGGTATATTCGCTAGACACGGTTTTAAGGTTACAAAAGATGATGAAAAGGTGTTTGTTAAGGCAGAATGTTTACTCAGATAATACTCACCAGGATGAAATGAAGCTATGTAAATGTTTGAACCTTGGCTTAACCATGTTATTACAGTTAATGTGTATTAACTGACATGATTCTGACCTAGGTGTGATAGATTTATAACATAACACCATTGACAAGCTCGACCCAGATGTTTGTTTATTTAGGCGCAGGCATTTATGTGCAATAAAGAAAAACTAGTCATTCGCTCACTGTCGTACACAGTCATGACATTTGCCCACCCTCTGAAAGGGGTGTGGGGTGTGGGGTGTGGTAGTGGCTCTCCAATACAAGCTCTTGCAGTAAACATGAAAGGGAGAAACTTTAACAAGTGATTGTAGTTTCAAATTCTTTTTAATGCACTTAAATATCTAGGCTTGATTCTAGCGGACTTCTACCTATCCCAAACACACAAAATGTTTCTTTCAAATTTTGTTTCCTGAAATTTGTGATGCATTTATTGCAGATTTTGTTTTTTGGGGAAGTACCAAGATAAAAAGTCAAACAAAATGGGGATCGTGAGGTTGGAACATAGCAAAACTAATTTGCTTGAGGTTGACAGATAATATGTAAAAAACAACAACATAAAAACAGCTGCATTTGTATCATTTTCTTGGTGAGATCGAGGACTTGTTGACCGACCCTCGTACATATCGTACGGAGGTTCGTGACCAATTTGTAAAAAAAATGAAAGCAAATGTCACTTGAAGTTTACCGAGAAAACAATATGTGAAATGCTGGAATTTCTCATTGATAACATCTTTGTGAAATTTGGGGGTACACATTTCGCCAAGAAGTAGGCATCCCCATGGGTACTAATTGTGCTCCCATCCTTGCGGATATGTTTCTTTATGCATATGAATCAGAATTTCTACTTGGGTTGGTAAAATCAAAACAAGGTAATTTGACCAAGAAGTTTGACTTACGCTTTCGGTACATAGATGTTCTAAGATGTTTGAACAATAGATGCGATGGCATCCATCAGCTTATGATCCACTCCTCCACCAAGCCCAATCTATTGTATAAACATCGCATCTATTGTTCAAACATCTCATTGTAACTACATCTCTGGCTTCCATTCACTATCCTTTGTGTACTTACTGGCTTCTTCAGCTTACTGCTTAGCCAATCATGGCAATTATGTTGTTTCCTTTGTCTATTATGTTGTTTCATTGTTATATACAGTATATATATGCAGCTCCTACACTTCATGTATCACTCTTGCTTGACAACGGTACAAGAATCTGTATCGAAACGTCGCACTCACGAAATAAAGAAGTTGTTATCCATAAAACTTGTTCTATATTGTTTCATATTTAGATCTATGCATAAAGATTCAGAGTGACACAAGGCTATAAAACAAAAGGAATCATTTCAACTTCCCAATAGTCAACTTTCCTTTCATGTCGAGCAGTATTCCAACATATCCAGCCTTTGGTGTTTACATTTCACCACTTTTGAGATACAATCGAGCGTACTTTTTGTATCAGGGTTTCAAAGAGCGCCATACCACTCTTGCTCAGAAGTTGTTTGATCAAGGTTAGACTGACTGACTGAGTTTGGTTTTACGCCGCTTTTAGCAATATTCCAGCAACATCACGGCGGGGGACACCAGAAATGGGCTTCACACATTGTACCCATGTGGGGATTCGAACGCGGGTCTTCGGCGTGACGAGCCAACGCTTTAACCATTAGGCTACCCCACCGCCCCGTCCTAGGGAATGTACACTATGGAATAAAGAGCGTTACTGCGAGAGAACAACCGCTCTTCACACAGATTCCATTTGGCGTACAAAAATGGTCATCTAATAAAATGACATCTAATGATAAACTTTATCAACACTTTTACGACAATAGTTTATAGGAATCCTTATGTTTACTTTCGAAGATGAATGTGCTAATGAAAACCAACCGCAAATGAGCAATACGTAGATACAGAGTCCGGTGTTAGCAAGGAGACACAGCCATGTCGGTCGTCGAACACAGCGACACCAAAACCGTATGGCAAATACAATCGAGATGGTCATTGAAGCAAGCCCTTGTGCCACCATGTAATGTCCCAGTCTGGCGTCACCCGGACAGGAGTTAATGTGCATGGCCCCTGAGACAAATGTACATGCTCATAATTAAATCATGAACACCATGATGGTATTGGAATAACATGTAAACGTAAACTTGGGATTGGATTGTATATTTAATCAGTGGTTATACTACATAATCATGAAAATCATTACAATTATTTACACATACGTATCCAGGTGATGATATATGTATACATGTCAGCACACAAACATCACTCTGTAACACACAAGAGCATGCACAAAATACATACTTATAATCAGGGGGATGGTAGCAAGTAAAATACACCCGATGACGAACTGGATATGACCTGAAATATACGGAATCGTATGATGTACATGTGGAGTATGAAAAACAAATACAGATGCATATATATGTAATTATGCATTTGAAAAACAACAACATTTGCAATATTTTAGCAGACTTTGTAATATTATCTTAAAGTATGGTCAATTAAAGGCATTTTTTCTGTGTTTGTGAAAAAGCTGTTCTATTACCACCAAAGATTCTCTGTTTACCATTAACGTCGGCTACAGATTTCTTGTTTTATTATATATATTAATTAGCTTTAACTAAGGTTAGGAGTATCTGCAATGATGTGGAACGGCCACATAGTTCGGTTAAGGACTAGAAGCAGTAGCAGCTAGGGGCCATGACAGGGTTGCCGTCTCTCCCACAGTCATTACAATTTCATTGTACGATTCCCGTTACATTAAAACAAGCGGTTATAATAGTGAGGATACCAGAAAAAGGTAAGAGTATCATGTCCAACCAATGAATAACATCATAAACTCATGTGGAGCCATGTCAGTTGGAGCCATGTCAATTCCTTGACCTACGCAGCTTGATTAAGCACCATTAAGCCTACCGAGAGGGTAGTACATACTGAACCTTTCACGTAGCCACCAAATTCTGAACATGTGTCGGTCGATCGGGGGCAAAAATAAATAAAGACAAAATTATCCGAATAACGTTCTTGATTCTCATTTTCTTTAATTCTTATTACAATGTCTCGCGTTCTTTGGACTTGTGGCAGCGACTGATTAAAAGATAAACATTTTATATGACGAGGTGGTACGTTTTAGGTTCGAGTCAGCGGTTGATTTCTTTACTTATTTTTTGTTTGTTTTTGTTATTTGTTGTTTGTTTGTATGATTTTTGTTTTGTTTATGTTTTGTTTTTGCTTTGTTTTTGTTTTTGGGGGTGGCCGTCGGGGATAGCGCAATAAAATTAGAAGAGTTGGTCGGGCGATGAAAAACACAGATTATAAAAATGCTGCCCTGAAAGCCACAAAGTCATCTCAGAGGCATTTCTGAGGAAGTGTCACTGGCCTTCTCTGGTTCAGGTTGATAAATCAGTAAATGGGAAGTGGCCATGGTTACTGGACGATATCAAATCATTGATAGTTTACGTAAAGTTTCTTGGTGAAAGTATCTTGTTTTGACTTTGTCAGGGGACAAATTCCAATTCACGTGCTCAAGAAACGGTCAGCAAGATGGGGAGTACAATCTGTGCCCATGGGGATGCCTATTTATTATCAAAGCTAACATTATACAAGGGCTTCTAATAAGAAGAGAAGTATTGGGAAAACTCCAACCTTTTTCTTAACCCTCATTACTTATGACCAAACAATACACATGAAGCTTAAAACCACGTAGATGGATTTCTTAGTCTGTCAGTGAAAGTGTGTCAGTTATACCTTACATTTGAGCACTTTTGAAAAGGCACTGTGTATTCCTAGCTTTAGTTATCGGAGCTGTGTCAATTTACACACGTGGCATAGGGGTACATAAAGTACGTGGTCAATCTGGTAGCTGCGAGGGTTAGATGGCAGACTTTGTTTGCTAGCGATAAGGTGCCTCCCTCTGCCTGCGAACGTGGTTTCAAGAATATGCACTTTACTAAGAAAGTTTTCATAACACATGTTACATTTACATTCATAACCTCGGCTATGGGGGCGGTGCCAATTCACATTTGTCAGAGGTGTACAAAAAGTGATGGCTGAGTGGTTTAGATCGCTTTCTTTGTGTGCTGGCGATAAGATACCTCACTCTATCAGTGTGGTTCGAATTCCGGATGAGACCCAACCCCAAAAGTACCATAATCGCAAGTATAATCCCAAATGTAACATATCTTACATTTGACATATCTTTTAATGACATTGTGTATTAACTGTACCTGTCTTCTGTCTAGATAATGCGAAGGTGTCTTGGCCAGTGTCTGTGCTACCCTCGTCGTCCTGTGTGTCTTCTGTGAGTTCCACTATGACTACAGTGTTGCCTTGACGGACAGCAGTGTGCCCCTCCACTCCGGATATCTTCCCATCCTTGTCGAGGCCATATTCGCTCTCAACTCCTGCAGGCCAAGTTAAGCAAACCGAATGTAACAATGCAAAAATGTCCGGTCTAAGTAAACATAGCCTCAGTATTATTCGTTACACTGCTATACTGAGTCTAACAAAACCTTGTGGAAGGTCGCGTCAGGTAACCTTTGAGCGACCTATGACCAAATATGTAACAAATAATACTGAGGCTAAGTTTACTTAGACTGTAAACATGTGTGACATACGAACAAAATCTATCCGTACTGGGTCATTATAGTATTACTCTTCTATTTGTCCTGATTTTTTCCCCTCATCCTAAGATTGTCTATACGTGCGCACACATACAAACACACAAGCTTCGAATTCTGTCTTTGCTTGTCATACCGGATGACATGTGGACACTTGTACAAGGAAGTAGTAAAATAGCCAATCGAGTTTACACTAAGTACCAGTCTTTATAAACATACTTTCTTTTATCGTTCTATGGTTCTATGCTTAGAGGAAGTGTTTAATTTGAATCTGATTTGGCGACAAAAATATTGCACCACAAAAACAGATTTGAGTATTTTTCATTTCTTTCCAAACAACTGTCACCATTGGACGGAACATGTTGTAAAACACCAAGTAAGGTAAGGTACTACATCATATATTAGAATATGTTGGCAGTTAAACGTGAAAATACGCAGGTAATAGCCTCGTTATATTCAGCCATAGCCGCGAAATGAATGACATCTTAGTTTCCATAGAAATTCACTGACTGACGTCAGGTATTGTCAGTATTGAATTTAAACGATTTTATGACCTAGTTTGTGCAATTAATACCGTCCTACTTTCTTAGGGTGCGTATCTACGTATATACATAACAATGTTATACGAGCCTTCCAGGAAACTATGTCCTGAAACACGTGTTGTTCCACGAATGTATGCGCTTTCATTAGCCACGTAACGCCATAACCCGCAGTATAAGAGCATGCTAGATGTAAAGACCGGTACATACTTCAGCTATGACGCTGGAACCGGGACTTGAAAATATTCCAGGTAATCACTCGTTACCAGGGTAACAAGTTGACGTTTATTGACGTTTCAGTTCAATTGCAAACGTCAAATGAGTAATTCTGTCTCACGAAAAGGACCCGTATCCACAAAACACAGCTTGATTACCATATTGACAAAATATGTCCGCAAAACAGGGTAGCTTGTGCTCTCTTACCGATAGGAGCGACGGGGTAGCCTAATGGTTAAAGCGTTGGCTCGTCACGCCGAAGACCCGGGTTCGAATCCCCACATGGGTACAATGTGTGAAGCCCATTTCTGGTGTCCCCCGCCGTGATGTTGCTGGAATATTGCTAAAAGCGGCGTTAAACCAAACTCAGTCAGTCAGTCTCTTACCGGTAACGGTATCATGGCCACAGTTTCGCATGGACGCTCCAACGTCCAACTGACCAGATGGTGCCCACATGAATACGTGCAAACACCTATAGTCCGTTTGATTTCATTTGAGACCGAGACCGATGAATTGCTCACTAACACAAAATCTTATAAATGCAACATAATCAAACTTTGTACAGTCACATGAAATCGACAGACCAACTCCTGATGATTTGTCTCATAATTTTGGACACCTCAATAAAAAAGTTGTTCAACAAACGATCATTACTTTGTTGTTACTTTTCTCTTTTTCTTCCGAGGGAGAGACCACTTGCTGGTAGAATAGCCAGGTGTGCGAAGTGTACGTGTGAAATTGAAATTTCACTGCACCCGCTTGTTGATTACCTGTCTTTTTTATTAGGGTGTCTGTCAATTTCATGTGACTGAGCAAAATTTGTATTTGTTGGGACTATTTAGATTTTGTGTGAGTGAGCAATTCATCGGTCTCAAATGAAATAGTTGCGGGTACAACAGCGTGCAGTAAACGCGGACAAAGTACTGTGATTATGTGTCCCAGTCCACTCAGCTGTGAATGGCTACCTCGTTAGGATGGAACCGCCACATTAACTTGGTGCGATTAAATGGCTGCAAGAGTTGTATGATCCCCAGGGAGTTGAGATTGAAAAATACGTGCCGTTGAGATTGACATCCTAAGAGGGAAAAATAGAGCGCCTGAACATTGAAACCATAAGTAAAATCTAAGTGGAACAATTCTTGGTTTATATAAGAATATAAGCGACAAAACCTTTCCCACATGCACAAGAAACTTCTGTCAAGTGCAGGAACAAGTGTCGGGTTCTGAGTGTCCTACGAGTAAGCGTTTATAAAGCACTATCAACTAGTGAGGATACTAGGTGTTCGCAAAAAAGGGAACAAATCCAGTCTCACCGATGGTACCCGTAACAAACACATGAAAAAGAACGCCACATATGGTCAAAATGAAGATCATTTTAGTCATTTATGCCTCAAATATGACAATGTCCTCCATAAAACGTTTTGAAAGCTGCTCTTGTACGAAACACATGTGGTGCACGTGGTCTCACCTTAGGCACGTGAGTTTGTTCAAAATTGTCTTTTGTTCACCCAACAGAAAATGGGTACCCGGTGGGATAAGTCATGTGGCTATTAACCTTCTAGCGCCTGACAGGCAGCTCGGGTTATTCGGGGTAATAATAATCAGTTTGTGATTATAGCGTGCGGTGATCAACAAGTGAGATGGATATAAATGAATTATTATTATTGTATTACTTACAGCTATATATTCCACATCAACAAAACCGTAACAAACATGTGACCTCAATTACCTTCCTTGTCAACAGAGAATGTTGACATTTCATATTGTTCTTGTACGCCGGATAACTGCATGGTTTGATCAGGTAATGTTCCACAAAAACACAGATATGTGCACTGGTGAGTGAGTGAGTTGGGTTTTGCACCGCTTTTAGTAATATTCCAGCAATATCACGGGGAGGGACACCAGAAATGGGCTTCACACGTTGTGCCCATATGGGGAATCGACCTCGGGCCCCCGGCGTGACGAGAGAACGCTTTACCCACAAGGCTGCACCACCGCCCCGTGCACTGGTGGACTGGTGGACTCTCATCTTAATCTACATTTGTACGTATGGACCAGGAAGTTACAGAGCTGTCAATCAACTGATATCTGACACGCCGTGTCTGTTAAAAAATACCATCATATCGGTATTCAACAAGTCAATTTTATGCATAACCGCTCTTCTTTTCACTGTGAAAATTGTATTTGGCCATTGACACTTTGTTATACCCAAAACAGGTTCTGTAACACCTATATGCTCTGGAGGCAAAGGTTAAGTTCATCTAAAATACTAAGGTACAATATTCGAGATAAATATCAAAGTCAGTCAGTCGCTTGTGACAGTCATCCCATTGAATACATAACACTCACACACACTCACACACACGCACGCACTCACGCACGCACACGCACATGATAAAAATTGCCACAACACATTTACTCATCTTACAAATCGTTGCTTCTCGGGAATTTAATGGCTTCATTGTCAGGTCCAACCAAAGTTTTACAGACCTTCGTCATATAGCTGTAATATTGTAATATAGTAAAACATCAAACAAATATTGTACAGATCAAGATGTACGCAGTATGGAATTGAAGTATGTTATAACAAAGACTGGTCATTGAAATATTTATTTATATCCACTGACAAATATATTAAGACTGTTACATTTGATGAATGGAGTCAAGTGTCTAAGCCTATGAAAGTCTATAAAATATGCATATAATTTACCTCTTCTTCTGGAAACAGAATATGTTCGAAAACGTCTATAATTGTTGACTGAAGTAGTATGCCTTTCTTACGAATAGGTACAATTTGGCCATACTGAACATAATGATCACAGACAACATGATCGATTAAAACACTTAGGGACAACTGAACATATGACACAAAAACATTTGTTCAGAAAAACTATGTAATTCTTGTCCAGGACTCGATTCTTCGCTGCTGCGCATATGTCATCTCAGCCCATCCAGTAAAGTTTGTTCGAATAACCTGGTTCATCCACGCTGAAGCAACTGCCAAACCCACCGCCTGTTTAATCGTCGCCCTTGCACCAGGCTCTCACACAACACACGCACAGCAGGGGCACGAGGCAGTAGAAGATCCACATGGGCACAGAGAAGCCGAGGGCGTGGGTGAATAGAAGCGTATCCTTGCACGGAGACGAGGCGAGCCACAGGGAACCTAAAGGGATATAAATAGTTTCGCATTTCTCTGTCGTAGTCCTGTGTTTCGTATAAGGGAGAAGGGCACAGTTTTACATATATTCCCATTGCAGATAGCCAGTAAGTAACTGAAATATTACCCTAATCGCCCGTTCGTTCAACCAACGAACGATTACGAATTACTGCGACAAGCGTCCAGAGAAGCTCACCTACAATTCCCCATCCGATGTTAAACAATCCAATGATGACACAGATAGCGCCTATGAAGTTTCCTGAAATACACCTGCAGCAAAACCAGCAGGATGCCAGGATGGGGATGACGACAGAGGTGGCTCCCTGGGCTATCATGTAGATGGCGAGTCTGGTGTTGCCTGGGCACAGATTGTAGTCAAGGATGCCTTGAGAAACGAGAACATCAAATATCTACGTTGGGTTCACTGGAAGGCTTGGAGAATATAGTTATTTTCTGTTAACACATTACCCTGACATTCAATGGGAAACTTACGTTCCTTTTTAAGTAAGTGTCTTTCGGATTTAAGTAATAATCATGGCAAAGTTCATTATTATATACATTATGCTGTATATAGTTTCCTGCAGCCAAAATATTTAACACCAAACCATTCCATACTGTTCTCTCTGTGCTTTTGTGTGCAGAATATATACAGAAGAATGAGGACTTTTTTTATGGATATAACACTTCTTTATTCTGTATAGGCGACGTTTCGACATAGATTCTAATGTCGTTGTCAAGCAAGTATATGTATACAACCATGTACATCTTTACTGGCTTCCTATCAACCTATTTAATCCTGTATACCATACCATCTGTGTTATCAACCTCTCCTATTGTATAAACAACTCATAAAAAAAACACTTGTGAAAATGAGTTCCCAAAATTGCTTGAAACCATTTCGAGACAAAAGGAGTTACATAAACTTATCATATCATAGTCATGTAGCATATCAAAATGTAGCTTATGATGCATGATATAGAAATAACCATATGATATGCTTCTAATTTTCAACCATATGATATGCTTCTAATTTTCAATGTGGTGATATAATCATATAAATTCATCAAATATTGTCTTTCCTTCATCTGACACCAACATTGTAAGTATTGGCCTATATTAATGGAAACCATTATTCAATTAATGTATTCTCCCATTTCATAATATTTACTACCATAACACACTTACGTAGTAATAATTAAATGACAAATGATATAAAGCCAAATCTGCAGTCAATATAAACTGAATGTATTATTACAGGAGTGACAAATTATATCATAGTGAACAGATGACTACATATTACAAGTGGGGTATGCAAGTGTAATATATAATGTGTACTGGTATATTCATTTTAACTTTCACAAGGATTTAGCATTGTTAAGTAACTTGCATTGTCAATCAATCCGTCATTAACCTGCAAGCACAAAATATGCTGTTGAAATACAAGCTTCGAAATGATTTGACAGACAAAAACACAAGCATAAATTCTACTCATACTTTTTCTTAATTTGGAAACAAAAAATGCCCTCGTTAGAGAACATGCCTCCGCCTTGCACAGCAATCTCCATTCACTATTACATTTTCAAAGTACTACTGTGCACTTGTACTTTAATATACTTTCACCAAACCGCACGCAGATAGCCCTTGACATACACTCTTCAAAAAAAAGAATAGCAAAATAAAATTTGAAAATACTGATCAAAAGTTTGTACGCATATGTCACATTAAGCATGTTTTGAGGGTTGCATGTTGTGTGGTTTAGAGGAACATGCGTGAGCGAATGCAACCATAAACTGTTTTAAATGGTTTTATCGATCATGATTGTCATGATGAGCTTGAATGTTATGGAACACAATCAAAAGCCGCAAGTATTGCTTTTCACGTGCAAAGCATGAGTACAACCTATGACTAAAAGACCCAAATGCATCTCACAAATTCATCCAAATCCTTTGCAAATACTAGATGAGAAAATGTGACGTCAGAACGGTGCTGACCGAAAATTGCCATTGGACATTACAAGCTGGCGAATCAAAGAGTGTCGTGGCATTCATCCCAACAAAACAACTCATTTGTGGGATCGTTTTGTGCATTCCATTTCAACAAATGACCATCCAAGACCAGGAAGACCGTGAGTCACCACACAGCCCAAGATCTCTACATCCGGGTAACCCACCTACGTAACTGCAATCGTTCCGCCCGGGACACAGCACAAGAATGGTTTGGAGCCCGGAGAATGTCCGACCAGACAATCAGGAACCGTCTCCGAGAGGCAGGTATGCGTGCCAGACGTCAAAAAGTTACCCTCTCTCTGATACGATAACAGGTGGTGTAACACGGTGCAGCCATGGAACCTTGGGAACCTTGCAGGCACATATGGTTCAAGCGACGTGACGGAAGACACCGTGTCTACAGACCACGCAGTGAACGATTTGCACCCAACTGCATGAGGCAAGTGGACAGATTTGGTGGAGATGGTGTCATGGTGTCATGGTGTCATGGTGTGGGGAACCATCTCATACACTTGCAGACCGGTGCTCGTCGAAGGCAATCTAAAGGCCGCTCGAAGTATCGATCAGATTCTCTGTCCTCACGTGCATCGCCTTGTCGACCGCCAGAGGGAACTGTACCAACAGGACAACGCCAGACCTCACACAGCACGTGCTACAGTGGAATATCTGGCCAATAACAACATGAATGTCCTTCCCTGGCCCTCCAGATCCCCGAGTCTGAAACCAATTCATTATCTGTGGAATCAGATCGATAAAAGTGTACGTCAACATCGTAATCCGCAATTTACCCTTTAACAGTTGTTCAACATGCTGCAGGAGGAACGGAGAAGGATTCCACAATGAAACATCAAACAACTGATTCGATCTGTGTCAAGGATACCTTGAATAAGACCAAAGTTTTCAATGACATTTTGCTTTTCTTTTTTTTGAAGAGTGTACTTTCTTCAACATCTAATTGATTTGCAATGGGGACATACCCAAGAGATCCAGTAAGTTTCATTGAAATCAATCTGGTAGTTTTTGAGTAAAGTTGCTAACACATAAATACACACACACATAAACAGGGTTGAATACATACCCTCTGCAACAAACCTTCGGTTTTGGCAAAGGCAATTATGATTATAGTAATTATTATGCATACATATATTATTGTGATTCATGATATTAATGGTAGTTGTAAAACACCAATCACAAGGTACATTTTGATATACTATATGCCTATGTTGTGATAGGTTTATAAAAATATGTTTTCTCACATTGGTGTTGCCGGTCGATTATGGGTACCGATGTTCAGTTACCCCAGAATGAAACGAACAATGCTTTTTCTGAGTCCATATGCAATTATCAGTGCTTCCAAAAATTAACATGCACTTCCCACAGAAAGCATATTTGCTACATAAGCCCCTGCACTAATATAAGAACTAAATATACTGTATTCCTGTGCCTAAAAATTCAACTGCATAGTCGACATAAATAGATCATATATGTCCCGTTTATGATCCCTTCCCCACAAACAATAAAGAAGAAACTCATATCTACACAAATTTCTTTTAAGTCATCTTGGCTTTATAGATAGAAGCGTTGAAGAGATAAATATTTATATTAAAATAAAACCATTTTCGTCACCGAATTATTCCCTATTTTGGATCTTACCAACAACTATCATGGCCACAGGCAGCGAACCAAAGATAAGGGAAAAGATGCAGACACACACTTTCACTAAAAAGGAAACAGAACATTAGTGATGCTTTGGACTGATACATGCATTGATTAAATCACAAATTTAAGGAGATTGCTATCGTTTCGTTTCAGTTGATATTATCCTTTCGTTAGCACAAATACAAACTCATGAGGACACAACCTTGGTGGTTAACGAATCGTCCGTTTGTCATTCGAGTCCAGAGTCCTTATTGCAATACAGTTTGTGACATCCGACGTTATTCACTGCTAAATGGGTTACCTGACATTTTATCGATATCGTCATCGTCGTCAGGCATGGTGACAGAATGGTGACGACTCGGTGCAGACTCCTCTTCTGTCAATATATACACATTCAAAAGTGTGATCGTACCATTCATTGAAATAAAAAAGTTGACTATCCATAGAACTTGGTTTTCCTCCCTATACCATTGTTATGTTTTATTACTGCAGCAAGGGTGTAAAGTTTAGATCGTTACATGTTTAAGAAGTAAACGTTTGCTCCTTTGTCATGTGTGGTGTGATAAAGTGCAGTCTTGCATTGGACTATTAAAGTTCAAATAATTAGGACACCTACCATGCCTTCAGTCAAAAAGAGACTTACCATACCTTTACCCACTACGATAACAAAATAGTTACCATAGTTTTACTTCAAACCAACATTATACCTAGATACTCACTATGCCTCTTGCCACCACGATAACAAGATATTCACTATGCCTCTTGCCAACACGATAACAAGACAATGACTGCATCTTGCCAACATGATAATAAGATAGCAAGATGCATACCGAGCGTTTAGTCAACAAGATAGCAATGTATTTACCATGCTTCTAGGTAACACAATAACAAGATCCTTTCCTACTTATCTTTCAAGCAAGCTGACGACAACTTACTCACCAGATCCCGAAATGGCAAATATTCCAGAGACTTGACCCACAACCTGCCGGGTGCGTGCACCTGAAATACAAGCAGTGTCACGTAAAGCAGTATAATGTCACTTGCATTGTTCCATATTCAAGATTCCTTCACGTACTATACCGATATAGCATTCACATTATTCTGGCTCTGTGTCTGCCAGTCCTTTTATCCAGTTCCCTCTTTCGGTATGGAATATTTAAAAAAATATTTAAATCAAACCCATGTTAAACATTTTTATTGGCAGAAACAAATCATAAACTTCCATTTCCAAAAATGTGTGTATGCTCTTGTAGTTTCACCTCAAATTAAAATATCCCCTACCTTTCTTGTATAGTTTGAAAGTTGCCATAAATCTATGTGCAGAAGCATTTTGTAGTTATCGTACAAACTTTACTTACGGAACACTCTTAAGAAAACATTTCCTTCTTCATCTGTAAAAAAGACGGCTTCGTTAGATTCTTAAACCTGGCATCATCATTCCTAAACATTTAAGATTTAAAATATGTAATTGGAAACATTCTTAGCAAATACCAACCCAGTGGCGTGACAATTTGGTCGCTAATTTCACTACAGGGGCGGATCCAGGGTTTTCGAGAAGGGGGTGCGCATAAATCATGAAGTCCAAAGGTAAGGTGAAATAATCCGAAGGGAATTTCGTTTCGGGGAAGAGAGGGTGCGCACCCCCGCATAACCCCTCTGGTTAAGCCCCTGCGCTGTCCCAGTATAATTTAACATTATGTACCGAAGTTCAATTAAGCAAAGAACGACTGGATCGAGAACCAGACGAGGACCGTCGCTTCAAAAGTTATCGCATTTCAGACAAATAAGATCACTCATTGATGAAGTTCATAAATCGCCGTTATGAAAACAATTCTTACCACGAGCCAATAAATGAAACCCAAGTAAAACTCTATTTCGCAGAAACAAATTTCACCTTTAAACCCGTTTATACTCCATATCAGTATCAGTGGAATCGCCATCACACCAGTCACAATATTATGTAAATGTTACACCCACTGTGTCAGGTATACAGTCAGTAATGAAAATAATTCTTACCATGTGCCAGCGCCGTCATGGTAACCTCTCTGTTGACGCTCACCTCCCCGTCTGCCGAGACAGCGAGATTGCTTCGACCTCCTGTATAACGGAATAGAGCAATGCAATCACAAAACACATCCAACAACACAAAACACATAAAATGTCAGGCAAAATGCATCGTAAAAAACACATTTGAAGTCTCGACAAAGAACAACCTTCAACTAAACCCAAAAAGTAATCACGTAGACCATTATTTCTTATGTGACCTATCGTTTAACATGCCGGAGTCATTACTGAGTTACTGTTGTCTTGCCATCGCCACAACGCAACCATCAACAAAGAGACTCCGTGACAGTGGGAAGAATATTTTTTTGCACCAAGCCATTGGTATTTAGAGGCTGCACGAGTCGCCATAGGGGGAAGGGGGGTGGGTGGGGGGAGTTGTCGTTCATTGCTCATATCTGTCCCAACAGGGTTGCAATATAATATAACAATATATCAACAATATAATTTTGTATGGATGGATAGCTTCTTTGTTGCACTTGCTTGATAACTGTATTAATATTATCTACACCATTGGAATAAAGAAGTTGTTTATGTATAAAAAAATCTGTTCCTTTTCATCATACCAACTTCTAAATACCTCACAAAGAAGTAAAACATAGAAGAACACGTGATCGGCCTCGTTCTGGAAGACCACGTGTCACCGTACACCCGCACATGGTAGGTTCGGTCGTTTACGGCGTTTCCAGAACAGGTTTAAATTTGATACAGCAACAGTATCTGCCTTGCCCCCAGACTATGTGATCAAACATTCCGGAAGCATCTGCAGGAGGATCGAGAACAGCGCGTGGATCATCCTTACACCACTGCATCGGTAACAAATGGTCATTACCAAGATGGAGAACCATCGTTTTGAGTGAGGAATGCCCTTCAGAAGTGGTACACATGAAGGGTAATATGGATTTTATGGCTGCCTGAATTATAAGGAACATGACCTTTTGGAGTATATTCTCCGACACCGTCATGTAGCATCAAGACGTCGTTTACCAGCAATGGTTTCTGAACAACATCCTGGTCTGAACCCAACATAAATTTGTGTGCGACGACACCATCACCAGTCCTAGCAGCATTGTTTTTGGCTTTTGGGACCAGAACATTCGAAAACTTGTAATCCTGAATTAGGTCTGTGGGTTGATGACGAGAGCTGATGAAGGTCATTCAGTTACTCACATTCTTTGACGTTGACCTTCTCATGAGTCATTTATTGTACATCGCCTCTTCCTTCACGATCTGAACATGTGTAACAGTGCTTTGATGCTGGTAACTAACAGTTCTTTTGTTTGGATTTATGAATATATAATGAACAACATTAGACACGCACCCCCCATAATAATACGAAATATCCCCGTCAGACTGAAATGTACCCATGATATCTGAGCATCGTCGGTGCATTTTAGTGTGGTGCGTTTCTAATGTTCTTCAGTACATGAAAAAACTTTCCCATTCCTTTTAGTAGTGTATTTGCCTTTTTCAGAATATCATTGAAACACATTCATGTCATGTCAACGGTAAGGTGAGGAAACAAATGGGTCACGGCAAACACATTAAATAATACTTTTTCAGATAATTCTATCACAAAATAGAGTTGTTTGTTGTTTAACGTCGCAGTCGGCAATTTCCCGGGTATATGACGGTGGTCTATAAATAATCGAGTTTATATGTGCTATCTACGCAATTGGGACACGAGACAACAAAGTCAGTAAGCCTGACCACCCGATCCCGTTAGTCACCGCTAACGACAAGTTTGGGTTGCTAAAAACCAATTCAACTCGACTCTTCACACAGTAGATAGAATACATGCAGCCTAATCTTGTGTGAAAAAAAACTCAAATTAATCATTTTATCTAATGGGTGAGTGAGTTTAGTTTTACGCCCCACTCGGCAATATTCCAGCTATATGGCGGCGGTCTGTAAATAGTCGAGTCTGGACCAGACAATCCAGTGATCAACAGCATTAGCATCGATCTGCGCAATTGGTAACCGATGACAAGTGTCAACAAAGCCAGCGAGCCTGACCACCCGATCCCGTTAGTCGCCTCTTACGACAACCATGGGTTACTGAAGGTTAATTCTAACCCGGACCTTCACAGGTCTTTTATCTAATGGAATATTGGCCGTCAATTAGTATTATACATACTTGTGGCAACAACACCCTCCATTTTATCCTGAAAATGTACACTTCCCTCTCTGATTGTTTACTGGTCAGCTCGGCCTGTCCACGAAGCTCCCCAACCAGGAAGATACCAGTATTGCAAACAGATAGCATAGATTACTACGTCAATATCGACTTACTTTTTCTTTTGTTATGACTAATCTATTTATACATCTACTTGGCATGTTTATCTCGATCCAGCTGGGTAGATCCAGTTACACAGGTATGCCAGGACGGACTTTTGCACCGACAAGTATTGCTATAATCGTCGGGCTGATCTAAAGACATTTCAGTTTCATATATTTTGTTGTTACTTACGTTTCTCAACGATCAGGGTGTCCAAAGTCGTGGTGCATTGGCTTAATTGTACATATTCCTGAGAAAAGGGTACTACGTTAACCAACAATTACAGAGGTACACCAAGTACATGCTTGATTGGCATTTTAGAAGATGATATTTGATGAACAAAGAGAATTTTCTGGGTTTCATCTTCTATTTATTCTTGAGTACAACGTTTGGGTCCCAACAGTTACTGTTCAGTTTTACCTGATGATGGGACCTGAACAAGCCCTGAAACGTTGTACTCAAGAATATAAAGACGATGAAACCCAGAATATTCATCAACTTTTTCATACAATCAAGCATGCATTCGTAAAAATTACGCTACTTTTGGTAATGTTTCACATTACTTACAGCATCATCTACAGCATTTTCTGTCCAGTGTGATAGATTCTAGAGCAAAGCTTGTGTTGTGTTATATGTTCAACTTCATATTGAAAGGGTACAGAGATGACTTGTTTTATAGCCCCTAGTGTTTATTTCTGATAGAAAGTTTGGAATAAAGAATGTACTTTTTATATCCTTCAAATGTCCTTCTTTTGAGAATATTTGAGAATTTTTGTAAATATCGAAAAATGGTATTAGAAAAATAGTGGATGACTGTCGACATAAGAAAAGTGGTTCTCTAAAGGTGTGCATAAACACTGTGCTTGGGATTTGTTTGGCAATAACACATAGTTCAAACAGAAATGGTATTTTCGAATAAATTTTCAGGAATGCTAAACGTTTCTGTATAAACAGAACGTCATTCTGCATTACTACACGACATGAAACCGTTTGGGTCCCCTTTTTTTTCTGGTGTTGAAGTACACATGAAACATTTGCTTGCTCTTGGTCGTGTAGATCTAGTTACATACAGAACGATTAAATGCCGAGTGATTTATTGAAGAAGCTTGAAATAAACATCTGTAAACTGTCATATATAGAAGACGAATATCACTTCGTATCCTTTTGTAACATATACTCTACAGTGTACATTAATTACGGAATATCAAATAATTAACAAATTTAATATACTGATGTAATTTGCTGTTGATGTGTCTTCAGTAGCCAGCTCCTGCCTAGAATTGCAGTGTAAGATCTATGCTTTTGATAAATTATGTGATCAAACTGGAATGAAGATAAATGTGGATAAAAAACTAAAATAATGGTATTTCCCAATGGTGGTCCACTTTGATCATATGACAAAATGGTATTTTCAAGGAAAATAAATAGATGTTGTTTCCTCATATAGATATTTAGGACTTCTACTCACTTCAAAATTGTCTTGGAGCAAGGCGCAATTTAGTCTTCGTTCACAGGTAAACAAAGGTATGATGTTAATTTACGGGTATTCTAAAAGGGTTGGAGGTATGCCATGTAAGGATTTACTAAAGATACTTGATAGTATGGTTGTGCCAATTGTATGTTATGGCTCAGAATTATGGGGTATATACTATAGTAAAGAAGTAGAAAGAGCACAGTTGAAATTCTGTAAGTGGATTCTTAGAGTTGATATATCTACATCAGATAATATGGTATTGGAGGAATGTGGGCGTTTGCCTCTACAGCTGGTATACCTGACCAGAGCAGTTAAATACTGGTGTCGACTCATTACTCTACCTCCTAGCAGGTTACAAAACAAGTGTTATCAGATGCTTATGTCCCTTGATAATGTAGGCCGTACTACTTGGATCACACACATATATTATTTAGTGATATATTATTTAGTTTTGGTTTTGGTTTTGTCTGGGTTTCCCAGCAGGTTGGCTGCATAAAATCTTTTATCTCTCCATTCGGACAAAGACTATCAGATCATTTGTAACAGTCATGGATTTCAAGCTTAAACACATCCTCCAAGTGTAACTACTATAAACAGTTCAAATCATTGTTAAATGTAGAATCATATTTGTCAAGTGATATTCCTTACTACTTGAGATGTTCTATGGCTAGATGTAGATGCCAAAATTACCGTCATGCTATAGACACCGGTAGGTACAATAAATTCAAGAATATATATTTTATTGAAGACGAGCTACACATACTGTTTGTCTGTGAAACCTATATAAACTTGTCATTGAAAGTAATACATACAACCGTTTATACCTTATGCTAAATCTCACTATGTACCTCAAGATATGGTGAATTTACTGGACATCACGCAATGTTTCTACCTTGCATGGTATATCTTTGTGTTTATATTAAGTATGGAAATTGAGAGCCAACGCTACTAACCCATAAGCACTTAGCCCTGCAGTTATTACTGGTACACAGTAATGTCTCTATCACTTAAAACCAACAACAATTTATGAAAGTACTATGTTGTATATATTTATTGTATTACAATCTGCATACCTGTGCCTGCTCAGCTCCTATACTACCACTTAGGTATTTTTTGTCACCAAGAAAGTAGCATGTATCACTTACATGCCCCTTCAGGCACAGGTTCTCTCACTGTGACCTCATTAGCATGTGTCGGCCAGAAAAGTTGAAAATGTCCCTATTGCAATCCTATTGTGGAATGATTTTCTTGCAATATTTAAAAAGTTTCATCATAAAAGTATCAGTTTCTAATTCACATATCTAACTTCAAGTCAATCACAAAAAATTGCCTTCTAGTATATTATAAAACATGTTATGCAGAAGTAACTTTAGATATAAAATATCAAATTACTCAACGAACGGGCCATTAGGGTAATATTTCAGTTACTTACTGGGTATCTGCAATGGAAATTTTTCGTGAAACTACACCATTCTCGCTTATACGAAACACACGACGACAGGGGAAAATGCGAAACTATGTATATTCGATTAGGTTCGCTGTGGCTCGCCTCGTCTCCGTGCAAGGATACGCCTCTATTTACCCACTCCCTCGGCTTCTCTGTGCCCATGTCGATCTTCTTTTGCCTCGTGCCCCTGGTGTTCATGGTTTGTGTGAGAACCTTTCAACATATTTTAGAGCCAAATATTCTGTTGTCCCTTAATGTTTTGATCGATCATGTTATCTAGAATAATGGTGTTTGGCCAAATTGTATCAATTCGTAAAAAGGGATACTACCTCAGCCAACAATTACAGTGGTATGTATATCAGGTAAAATATAACCTTTATGACGAAATATATCGCGAATACGATCTTTCTAAAAGATGAGTTTTATAGACGTGGACACTTGACTTCATTCATCAAATGTAACAGTTTCGGAGTAGATATAAATCAAGATATTTTACTGACAAGTGTTTGTTATAACATACTTCCTTACTGTGTACACTTTGATCTGCACGACGTGTGATGTTTGTTTGATGTTCAAAGTCGAATTCAGCATTATCTTATCTCACACATAAATGTCGCTTTCTGATTGGCTGAGCGCTCTTCGATTATTTCCAATGTACCCCGCTTACAAGCAAGTCACATTTCAATGTTCCCCGCTGTCAGTGGCAACTCATTCTGTACTTCGTGGTAGTAATTCTTTATCTCGAATAACATTGAATCACGTATGATGTACGGAAATTACCGATGTTTTGCGAATGCAAATCGAAGGAAGGGAGATAACTCTAAATCTGTTTTTCTTGTCAGCAAAACCTAGCGATGGCTACAAAGATCACTGGATTGTCTGGTCCAGACTCGATTATTTACAGACCGCCGCCATATAGCTGGACTATTGCTGAGTGTTGCGTAAAACTAAAGTCACTCACTCACTCACTTTGTATCATATGATTGGTATCAGCAGAAGTTAGCCAGTAGACTGCAGCGTCCATGTGTGTGGAAGACGTACAGCTTTGTTGTTTTCCATGTGTAACATAATCAGGTACGAACATCCTACTGGTTGTGTTTCACCTCTTAGACTGACTGACTGAGTTTGGTTTTACGCCGCCTTTAGCAATATTTCAGCAACATCACGGCGGGGGACAACACATTGTACCAATGTGGGGATTCGAACCCGGGTTTTCGGCGTGACGAGCCAACGCTTTATCATGACATCAACCACTAGGCTACTCCACCTCCCCTTCACCCTTAGCCTAGTGGTTAAAGCGTTCGCTCGTCACGCCGAAGATCCGGGTTCGATTCCCCACATGGGTACAATATGTAAAGCCCATGTATGGTGTCTCCCGCCGTGATATTGCTGGAATATTGCTAAAAGCGGCGTTAAACCATACTTACTCACCCCTTAAATGCGGCATTCATGCTTATAGACTGGTTGTGTCTCATAATCAAGCATAAACACAAGGAAGAATGTTTTATATTGATACCAAGTAATATCATCAAGCATTAACAGCATGTTCAATAATTTTGGAACATTATCCTGTATTATATGCATCTTAAGACAGAATAAGTAGAACCTCTCCAGCAGCGTGCACCGCTACAGTGTGAAGGATGTACAGCTCGATTGTTTCGGCATGTTTTCCTAAGACAGGCTTGGTGTTGTAGAATATCTTCCCATGGGGTAGGATTACAACAATGTAATCTTGTGGTAGGAATGTCAGAGGTTTATTTGTTCTCAAGTGCTGTTATCATTTCGTATGGTCGTGGCAGCGATAATGCTATTTCCGAAGCGATTTTACAGCGGAATGAACAGGGTGGTTTGAGGTGCCTTGAACTACGTCATTTGGATGCATGTATTTTGTATTTTTTTCAGGTCAGAGTACACAAAAGGTGAAAATACGCCGGTGTCTAAGATTACCTATACAGTGAGTATCTTTCTGTTCAATTCAGTAGGTGATGTTATATATTGTCAAATATACTGACATGTTTGAAATAGTATATGAACACGTGTAGATCAAATACCCGTAGAACAGATTCC